AGATTTAGGCCTGATAAAATTGTCGTTGAAATGACAGTAAGTACAGGGAGAATTGATAAAACTCGTGTAATTACTGAGCTTATGCGCATTTTTCAATACTACAATTGATAATGTCCATTTATAAGATATATTTTACGAGTTGCTATTTAAAGATATAATTCTTTAAATTGTTCAACTATAGTTGTCCCTTGGTTGTTCAAATATTGTAATAAAGAAAATCTTTTTAGTTTCAAGTATTTTACTTTAAGGATTGTCCATATATTACATAATGCGAAATTAAACTTATAGACAAAAGATATATCTCAAAAATCGTGTTTCTCTCATAGCCAACTATATGTTGCATGTTCAAAAACTAGAGCATTTAATAGTTTGTTTTTCACAATTGTTAAACATCCTATCAAGGTAAAAAGTGAACACAAATAGTGTTATACTTTCTATTGTTCTTAATTAATTATCTTTAGATTTTTATTTCGAAAATTTACTGTTAAAGGTTGTGAGCATGTGTAACTTTATTTATTTTTTTTTTTTTTTCCATAGTTTTTGATAAATATATCTGTCATTTAATATAAAATGTGCTTATATGTCTTATATAAAGTCATATTTGTTTATAGCTGTATATATGTTTATATTGAGTTGTTTCTATGTTTTCAAAGTGGTGTGGCTTGGTATTATGTTGAGCAAGTTTGATAACCTTGCCAGCCAAGAGGTGTACTTATAGCAGAGGTGTGACTTAGCAGCATTTAATGCTAGGCAGTGTTACTGCTTTAGAGCTAGGTTGTGTTGTTTAACCTTTTTAAATTATTCTGAAAACACATAATAATGTCTGTTAATGTTTAGCGTAATGTGTATGAGAGAGTATGCAACCTAAATCTTTAAATCTAGCGTGCTTTAATGTCCTAAATTTGAAATAATTGAATAACTAATGTTGAATATAAAAACAAATATATCTTATTTAAAGTTTAATAAAAAGATAAATATAACTCTAAAATATTTTTTTAATTTTGCCTTTTATATTTTAATTTAGTTTGTTATTTTCACTGGATTTTATTGCTATGTGTTATTGCTGTAATGTTACTGTTGTGATGTTTTGTGTTGATAGATAGCTTGGCTTACCTTCCCGTTGGCGTCTATTGTTAAAAATGAATCATAGGTAGTTTCATTATTGGAATTTACTGCTTTTATTTATTTACTAAAAACAAAGACAACATTTTGCTAAAAGTGCAATTTAAATCTTAGTTTGATTTTTTTTTTGTTAATCCTTTTGTACTTCAAAATAGATTTTATAGTTACATTTTTGATAAACTGCAATTAAAGTAACTATAAATAGGTAAATCAATTTTCAATTTTTATGAAATCGATTTACCAATTTATAGTTACTTATTTTGAAATTTGGTGTTTTTTTTGTAATTATGATGTAATTCCATTACTTTTTATTTTAGATTTACGTTATGACACATTTATAAGATTTATAAAAAAAACCTGATTTCCTTTTGTAAGTTTTTGTTAGGTAAAAAGATATATTTATATATATGCAATTAGTTCACTTTTTTTTTTTTTTAATTTTATGCCTAATAATTTGTTGTACGTATCTTTGTAAAGGGGGGGGGGTCGTAACTAAAAACTTTTAAAAACATGGAGAATACTGTAGTTTTGCGCATTTGTCAAATATTGATTTACTTATGTTTTATTTACATATTTAACTAATTAGTTAGCTTAGTCTGCATTTGCAACACTTTTGAGGAAAGAATAATTGTTTGTAAATAAAAATATAAATCAGTGTTTTACATTTTTATTATTTTAGTTAAAGAAAAACTTGATTACTCTTAATAAAAAAAACCCTACTCACCAGGCCACCATTAAAGCAAAAAGAGGGGAGGAACCTCTTTACTTGTGTTAAAATATTTAGGAAATTAAATTTTGAGTAACAAAAGGAATTTTTAGTAAATGATAGCAAATTACCGTTTACTAAAAATTAATGAAATAAACAGGCCAAACTAATAATTTAGAAATGGTCTATGTTGAACAGACTTAACAAGACCCGGGTCCGGTCATAGTAGGTATTACTAGTGACTTTCCCATGGACTGAATATATAGTTTATACGAGAGATCTGTAGTGAAATATTAAAAAGACGAAGAGGACTTAAGCTGAAAAGGAAGTAAGTTGTATATATACGGCCAGCCAACTTCAAACTTTAGCTGACTACGAACCTCATTAAATTTTACTTAATGACATTTATTTGAATTTATGGACGTTTTAAAAATTTTTTTACTAATCTATGGGCTATCTATGTAAAACAACAATGACATTAATTTTAGTTCAGCTAGTGGCATGTACACAATCAAAATTTAAAATATTTATTGAATCGCAATCAAATTTTGTTATTTATGTGCCCCAAGAAGTCCTAACGGTCTTGTCACAGAGCACCGCGGAAATGGATTTAACCAGGAAGTTCACGCGCCCTTCCTTACTGTGACGCGAAATATATTAAAGGCTCATTTCAAACCCAGATCCCCGGCTTATAAAGCAAGCTCTCTAACCACTAATATATAAATATACCTGGTTTATTTGCACCATGAATCAGTATTATTAACCAGGTTGCCAAAATCGGAAACTTAGTTCCATTTAAGTTAAGGGATAAAAAGTGCCTACTTTGTACCTTAATAAAATGTTAAGGCTTGCAACAAAGATTTCTTTAAAAGATGTTAGCAAATGGTTTAAAAGTTTTGAAAATTATAAGCTACTTTCGATATTAAAAAAAAAAATTTATGGAATACGATAAAAAGTTGAATTGTGTTATTAGTAACATAATGTTACCAAATAGAAATAGTTAATGTACTAACTTTATCAAATTAAACAATGCATTGACAAAAATAATGTCGCAATTAAATACGCAAATAATATAAACTTATTTCAAACAATTGTAGGCTAGACTGGGGTAATTCTATCCCCGGGGAAATTCTACCCTCTAAAAAGATATGGAGCAATACAGATAAACTAAAAAAACTTGAACCACTTTTAGCTCATGTTTTTGATTGCCAACTTTCTGTTTCTCACTAAGTATATGCTTCCTGTATCCATACTGATTTAGAAATTTGTTTATGAAACTTTTTTTGGAAATCCAAAATCATCTTCAATATATGTACTTTATATGTCATCATCTTCAATATATATACCATATATGTACTTTAAGATACATTTTAAAATATATTTTTATTGATCATCATACTTTTATTAATCATCATTTATTTTTTGGATGTGTTTAATGTGTACAGAGATGATAAAATTTTTAATTTCACAATTTGAACCTTTGCTTGTAAATATCCTTAGGCAACATGTTAATTTAGTAGTATTAATATCTGTATATGGTATTAGATATATAATTATTCATAATTTCAACCAATTAAGACAATTTTAGTCATGGGTCAAATATCACACCTTTTCATAAAAAACTAGGGAAGCGGCAAATGGAGACGAGAGGAAAGGCCATAAAAAAATAGTGTGGTGAAAGCCTCACTTTAGATAAATGCATTGCTAGGCTCACTAAAGAAAATTAGGCTAAAACCAAGCCGAAAATTGTCTTCATTTCAGGTAAAGAGAAGGGAAAAGACATGAAAAAAACAACAATGAGTGATGCCGCAAACAAACCAATTTTATGCACAATGTGTGGGGTAAATGTGGATGACCCTAAAGTTTGCAATCTGAATGTTATGTATGACCTCCCCGCTAACACAAAACGTTCAAGTACGTTCGAATTTTTTATGAAAACGTGTAGAAATTACCCCTATTTTGTTTTATAAAAAAATATTAAAATGTTTTTTTGTTAAAATTTTATATCAACAGTTTGCTTAAATATGTAAATAAAAGGAATTCTTTTACTATTCTCTTGTTTTTTATTTTATATAGTGGTTTTTAAGGATTTTTTAGAAGTAGTGGATGGATCCAGTATACCCTACCAAGCAACTTTGTTTGATATTATTTTATCCCTTTTGTATTACACTATATGTAACATCTAAAAAAACAAAAATAAAATGTTTAATTTAATTTGATTCACTTACAAGTTAAAAACCTATTTTTAATTGAATATGGTTTGGGACTTTTATTATTACTTGATGTTAGAGCAAAGTAAAGTAAATGCAAATTTTATGCTTTAATATTTAATTTAATATCACATTACTTCCATGTGATTGTGCCCATCAAGACATCAGGGTTGCATACTTCAAAAGAAGCTTTTGAAAAATTGCATTAATTGACCCTTAAGCTTGAGATGAGGGTCAGTTTTATCTGTTCTTTATATGGTTGGCTGATCTGCTTTGAACAAAACATCTTTTGTATCAACAAAAATCTTGATGGGCACAATCACATGGAAGTAATGTAATATTAAATTAAATATTAAAGCATAAAATTTGCATTTACTTTACTTATAACCTAATAACCTAACTTTTTGACAGATCGGGTTATCACAAATTGCCACAGTTTAAAAAGAACTCCTTGGTGAGTGACAAAACCCACCCCTGGTGAAAATATTGAAGTTTGTATGAACAATATTACATATATTAGGAATAGTACAAGAACATACCAAGTATATAACAAAACCATCAGTAGGAGCAGGCATTTAAATTTAAGGCCTTAAGTAATCTGGATCAAGATACTAAATATGATATACTAAATATACTGAACACAAGAAAGTTTATACATATTTTAAACAATATTAAATCTAAAGTTCCTAAACAACAGCAATAAAAATAGCAATTAAGATTTACTACAACCTTATTGTTGTTGGTTTAAATAAATGGAAACATATTAATATAAATGTTAAAATTTAATAAATGTTATATGACAAAACAAGTTAAATAACATGTTTGAAATAATAAACTAACTTTAAGATGTTTAAAACAGGCAAACAAGAAATGAAAATTAATTTGGATAACTCTTTAATGTTTTTTTTCTTTTAAAATCTATTGTTTAACTTTATCTACACAAAAAAGAAAAAAGAAATCTTACATCTCTAGTAAAATGACCAGTATGAGAACTTTTTGAAGGAAAGCAAACTGGAAACACTCTTTCCCTTACTACTTTATTTCTTGACAAAGCATCTTTAATACGGTTTGAGAATTGCACTCTTCTAAATTTAGTATCCTCAGCAATCTAAAACAAAGTTTATTTTAAAAAGAATTAGCATAAATTAATTGGTTATATTTTAAGTTGATGCATGTATATCTTGAATAGTTAATATAGGACTGACTTAAATCTCATTTCAATAATATAAATTAAACAAACAATGAAATAAAACCTTAAAACTTGGGAACTTTTAAACTTTCTAAATTTTTATTTGAAAACTACAGTTAAATTTCTTGGTCACCAAGAAATTTAAAATGTCTTGTATTACCTCTACTCAATGTTGTTTTTTCTAATAAATTTAAATTATTTTTATCTATAATAATAATTTTTTTACCAATTTAAATTTAATCTTCGACGATAACCAGGTGAAAACGGTTAGCGATTTTTAGCATGCACCAAAAGTAGGTTGTGAAAATTGTTTAAAGTGCGGACCTGGAAAGTTATTTATACTTACGCGCAAACGGAAAACAATACAAAAACAACAAAAACCTACTTTTGGTGCATGCTAAAAAATTTTTACCAACTGTTTAATGTTATTATTGTATAATGGTAAAAAGTTAATGGTAAATCAGCGTTATTATATGGTTAAATCAGCGTTATATAACATATATATATATACATATATATATATATATATATATATATATATATATATATATATATATATATATATATATTTAAATATATATATATGTATATATATATATATATATATATACACATATTTATATTACATATAAATATTTCATATATATATTATATATATATATATATGTATATATATATAATTATATATGAGATATATATCATATATATTACATATATATATATATATATATATATATATATATATATATATATATATATATATACACATATATATATATATATATATATATATATATATATATATATATATATATATATATATATATATATATACACATATATATATATTTATATAAGTTAGTAGAAAATCACTTAACACAAATTTCAAAACTTTTGAAATTTTTGACAAAAAAAAGATATACCGTAGTATAAATAAAAGTATACCGCTGTTTAAATGTAGTATATAAATTAGTACATGCTATTAGTAATAGTAAAAATACCTAAAGCTTATGTATTCAATGTATGTCAGCACACAAAAACCTATGCACTTTTTTATCCCAGCCCTAAATTCTGGCTAATAAAAATTGTTTAACAAAATCGATGTGCAGAAAAACAAGTTGGGTGTGGTATTTTCTGAAGCATACACTTTGAACAGAAAGTACATTCTTCATTGCTAGACATACCTGTTAGAGTTACTATTAAAGATGTTACTAATGCTTTGTATAAGTAAAAAAATAGAAAATCTGCTGGACCAGATGACTTGTTTATGGAATCATTTATACTTGGAGGACATATTGACCCAGAATCATTTGTATATGGAGACTATATGACGTAGAGGACAGAAAGTGTCTCTATATCATATAGACATAGAGACACTTTCTCTCTATCTAAGTATTTTTTTTAATTAATACTTCTTGTATGGAAATTTGCCATCAACATTTTGTGAAGCCATGATAACAACTCTAGTAAAATCTAAAGTTAGGTGTAAATAATTACAGAGCAATTGCAATCTCTATATAAAAAATGGTGTGTATAATATTTAACCTAAAACAGAGATGTAAGATTGTGTCAAGCAATTTTCCACTGTTTACTCTAGCTGGATGTGAATGAGTTTTCATTGAAAAATTCAAGTATCTGGGTCACTTAATAGATACTATCAGATACATTATTGTGTGACTACAGACTTAGCCTTATCAATCAGTTAGTTACCTGTGCCAGCAGCATAGAAGCTGGGTATAGATTAAACAGAATTTTTAATTGAATATATATTTTTTTAATTTTATTTTTATCTTTACATAGATCTTGTACTGTACTTGTTGTCTTAATCAAATAAATAAAGTATTCTGCTTAAATTAATATCTTATGTGTATGTGTATAAAAATATTTTATGTGTATGTGCATGCATTATCAATACCTTTTTTTAAAATAAAAATGCTAAAATTTGAATATAAATATATTAACAGAATAAAATTATTTTTAGTATATAAGCAGAATATTAACATATTAAAAGTTAAATATTAACATTTTTTTATAGAAAAGAGATAGAGATGCAACTTTATGACAATGAGGGAGGCTCAAGTTTGGTAGATGAAGCAGGTTTGACTATGATTACAATTCATTTTTGTACCTTATCTAAAGATAATAGAACATCATTAGAAGTACTGACCCAAATATGACAACAGTTTTCCATACAGTGGCGAATGAGAGGATTCTAGAGGTCGAAAATAGTATCAGGAGTATGAAAATAGCAAGCTTGTTAAAGAGAAGCAACCTTAACAGATGCTAATTTAGCAATCAATTGTATATATGTTTTTCATGAAAGGTCAGTTGCGAGTGGTAGTCCAAATGATGTAAAAAAGTGGATCAGCGAGAGGGTTGCTGCTCATCATTTATTGATGACATCGATATTGGAATGTTGATAGTATTACAATATCGTTTGTTAGCAGTTGCAATATTGCTTGTTTGCATCAATTGTTTGCAGTAAATAAATGAGTTTTTTTTAGGGTTAAATTTCACATGGCAATCTCTGTTACAGTATATGCTTTAGTAAAGTCAGTTGTTCTAAAATCAAAAAAATAATACTTTTTGTTAAGATAGGAGTTTAAAATTGAATCATCAGCAGAGATGTTGATTCAACTTTAAATATAACTTATATCACTTTAAATATAAGGTTGTCAAGAAGATCAATAATGTAAATAAGAAACAAAACAGGATAGAACCATGAGATTTCTTAGAATAATTGGACCATAGTTGGAGGGGTCATTTACTCCAAAGAATTAAAAAACTGAAACCACTGATGCAATTTTCAAATTTTCAGAGAGAATCGAAGAAAGTTCTAAAAAGATGTTGAATCGGATATTGATGTTGAATCAAGACAAATGTTTTACTTGAACAGGCTTCTGTATTATTTTAATTAGTGATTTTTGATGATTAAAAGAACTTTAATTTTAATAATTTTAAACAGTTTTACAAAAAGCAAAAATACTGTAAATTATTCCTCTAGATTGCACAAAATATTTGATCTTTCTTGCTTTAGGTTCATATTTTATTCTTTATTTTATACCTTGAAATTGAAGTAACTTAAATAAAAATAAAAAAAAGTATTTTTTTATTTTTATTTAAGTTACTTATATATATATATATATATATATATATATATATATATATATATATATATATATATATATATATATATATATATATATTTATGTGTGTTATATATGTTCTAATGTGTTTTTTAAATAACAACCTACATATATTAACTTGATAAATATTTTTGTATATTTAAATTTCTCTTTAGTAAATTAACATATATTAAAGTTAATGTGTTTTATGATTTTAGAGTCTAAAGACCTCTTGTCGCTTGTTCTTAGAAATGATATTGATAGATAAACCCTGAAACCTAGTGTTTAACTTTTGAATCATAAACTAAGAGACACAGCAAATTGGCAACTGCAAATCATTTTTTTAATTGGAAGGAAAAACATACAATAACAAACAAAATGCTTGTACTTAAGGGTAAGTTATAATTTTCTTTTATTACACCAAATTACCAAGAAAGCTTAAGGCAAAAATTAATTGAATAAAAGTTTACCAACAAAGTGAGAAAATGGGCTAACAGAAAACTTATTACCAGAGCTAGAAAAAATGCCTTTTAGAAATAACAAAATTTCATGACTTATTGGGTGGACACGGAAAAATCCGTTCAATTTTAAATTGAGATTTCTCTAAAACCATAAATGCTTTTTATTTCAATTTTTTTATTATTAAATGTGTTTACATAAATTAGAGTTTCAACTTAATTTTAAGGAACTTGATGGGTTTGGCAAGAGATCGAACTTTATAGCGGGTTGATGTCATCATTTCGCAGATTTTTTCTTTTTTTACCTTATTGGTGGCATTAATCCACTTTTTTTGGAATTCCTTTTTATTATTTGTTACTCTACCTGCCTTTCAAAGAACTCCTTTAACTATTGCCCAAAAACTTCAATCCTGCGCTCTGCTTGCCACACAAGAAACTTAGGAATTTGAATATATTCAAATTGTTCATCGATAGGTTTATCTTTGTTCTCATAGTAAAATTTGCTGACCAGGAAGTTGTAGAAAATCCGCCTTGCAATATGTTTCGAACACAAAATCTTGAATTTTCTTGCTAGATCTTGCTGTGACTGGTTTGGATTTCTTGCTATTGAACGTAAAATCGACTTAACTTTTAGGATTTATGGAAAGTCAAGGAGTAGACATTATTTATTGAAATAATGTCTACTCCTTGTTTAGCTTTTTTTTAATCAAATTTTAAACAACTTTTTTTTTATCGGGCTCTTTTAAAAGTGTAGTTTTTAGTTACTCTTTTAAAAGTAACCTTACTTTTCTGCATTAGTGGAAAGCTTATCAGACTTGTTCGATAAAAAATCAATTTAAGTTTGAACTGCAAACAATTTTTTAATTTTATGCCACATTTTTTTTTTCTTTTTTTAATTTTTTGCTTTTGTAAAATTTCACAGTAGCAACTGCTTGCTTTTCTTGCATGATGCTGCATCTCTTTGCCCATTTTAATGCTTTTATTTCGAGTTAAAGTCTTTTATGTCAAGTTTGAAAATAAAGTGCATCATATTTTTTGCAGCATTTTTGAGGATAAATGGTCTTTGACTATATCACTAAAATAGTAGTCATAAATGGTACCTAAATGTTTTCTAGAAGTTAATCTGTTTGAAACCCCTAAAAAGTTTATCTGTTTGAAACCCTTTCAGAAATGTGTTTAATTTCAGATACCATTTCAAAGAATTTTAATTTTGATAGTAAAATAGGATCATGTATTGCTGCTTTTCACCACTGACAACTTTTATTTATGACTCCATGTAGTTTAATTTTTTCAAGACTACCATTAAATGTTTTTATTTTGAACAGTGGGGTAACATTGGACAAAAACTCTACTAGAAAGATTTTTATTAAAAATTTATTTTCCAAAGTTACCCCACTGTTCAAAGTAACAACATTTCACGATACTAAGATATGTTACACATTTTTTGTAAATTGTCAAGAAAGGATTCAGCTTTTCATAAACAGTTTTCTTTTTTGCACCAACTGTGGTTTTAAACAAACTCAAATGACTTTTGGTATAAGATTAACACTGCCTGTGCTGGTGAGTGATACTTGTTAAACACCAGATGAGCCATTTTTATAATGTGCAACTTAATTTTATTATTTTATCATAAACATTTTATCATTTTATTTAATATTTCACATAAAAACATAACACAGAAAATAGAAATTGATTAAAAATATGACTCTTCTCTTACCTTACTCATGTTTCCTAAATCAGTTATCATAGTTTAGTGTTACCCTTGCTCCGACACTTCATGGAGATTCTGATGTATATTGAAGATTTTGTTGGTTGCTTTTTACAAGTAAGCGTTGATAGCCAACTGATCAACAGATAGTAGGCCATATCTTGTGTTAGGGGTCGTCCATAAAATACGTCACACAATTTTTAACTGTTTTTGACCTCCCCACCCCCATTGTCACAAAATCGTATCACTTATGAAGCAAGTTGTCACAAAACCTTTAATCCCTCCTTGAAGCATGATGTAATTTATGGACAACCCCTTATAAAAAAAAGCTGTTTTTAATTCTGTTTAAAAACTTTCTGGCAATTAATAGGTTTTTACTAAAATTAAGACATTTTTTTGGCAGATAAGAGGCCTGGAATCTTTTTTTAATCACAAACTACCATGCAAATCACATGAGGTTGAAATTATTAGGTTTTAAAACCCTAAAAGTTTTATTATTTTTATTTTGAAATTTTCAAATTTACAAACATTATAGAGCTTTAAATCTAAAGAATGTAGTTGGATGTATATTTGACACGAAAACCATAAGGTGAAATTATTTTTAGCACATTTTTGATACATATACTTAAATATTGACCCAAATAGAACACAAAAAAGTTTGATTAAAAATAGAGCAATGATAAAAGAAAATTTTTTGAAATAATAAACAAAAACATTAAAGGAAAATTTACCATTAAGTTGCTTTTCTTTGTTATTGATTCTTAATACCTTTTTTAATTTATATCAACGTTTAGTTTATGATTCGAAAGTTAAACATCAGTTCCCGAAGTTTAACTATCAAAATCATTGCTAATAGTATGATGTAGCAAGGATTTTCTCAAGAATCTGAATTTATGGGAAAAAAAGATTTGTCATCCATACTGTTAACTTGTTTTGATGCTAATATTAGTAATATACAAGATGTAATCCATATGCTTGAAGTTGTTTCAAAGATTTCTAAACAGAAATGGGAGATATAAAAAGATAACTTCTATTGTTGTTCAGATAACACATCTTTTAATTATTGTTAAGCATATAATGCATAAAAAGCAATAAAAATATCAAGAAATATGACTTTTTAAAAATAGCTTACATAATTTTTATTTTTTCATCAATTCTTCTAATTCAACATCTTTCAATGAACAATGTTAAACTGATCCTTTGTCATAACATTTCAATGCTCTGATGCTTTAATGTTTTTAAAAATCTATGTGGCTATGAAAATAACCGTTTTTAGAAGTGATGTTTTTACCATTTGCGCTAAGCTGGTTCGAATGAAGCTTTGTTGGTTTCCTTTCTATAAACAAAATAAAAAATTGTTTAATGTTAACAACTTATTAATTGTAAATCTTCAATAATGTAATGACCCACAAAATAATGACTCTTTCTTATATTATACTGCATTTTAGCCAATTACCCTTGGAAACTTATTTGATAGTTTAAAATTAATGATTACGATTTTGGTATTACATAATTATGAAACATGAAAAACAAACATATACAAAATCTAACTCTTATATTTTCTTATTTTTTATTTTTATTTATTTATTATATTTCCTAATAATAACTTTTTTTTTTGCAATAAAACAATTATTAAATAAAATATACCCAGATATATATTAGATATAGCTTGACTAGCAGGAGAAGGAAGTAACAAAAAAAACGCTTTCAAAAGTTATTTATCGCTATTTCTGGACTTTAGTGCCAACAAACTATAAAAGTGCTGAGATGTATTACTTTATAAAAAATCTCAATATTTAAGCTATAGAAAAGACTTATTAAAAAAAATTTTTAAGCTGGAGTAAAAAATGTTCAGTTTTAAAACATTAAATTCTGTGGCCGTTTAATTTCTTTAAAACCAGGAACATATAGTGATTAAAAGCAGTCTTTTTTGGGACATCTTTTCCCAAAAATTACTCAAGTACTGCATTCAAAAAGCTTTTGCTTTTGTAAAAAATTTTTAAAAATATTACTTCATTGTACATCCTTTGAAGCAATCATGACAATTCCAAAGCTCATCTTTTTTTTCAAATGCACTTTGAGGAATTCTTTCACATTCACGATGAAACCAATTTTTGCAATTAAAACATTGAGCCATTTGCCTTAAAAAATTTATACATATTAATTGTTTCAATAAATTTAAAGGGATTCCAAACTCCCAACACATCTTGGGTTCATATTAAAGATAATTTAAAAAAAAAAAGGTTTGTACCAAGTTTTTTTGTTTAAAAATAAATAATGAATGCATACCGAGAAAAACTAATGTTATTGTTTTAGCCGAAGCTTGCCTTCTCCATCCTTCTCAATTTCATTCAATAACTCTGAGTCTTCAAATCATACGTCGCAATCTACAGACTTCGGCAATTCCTATGAAGCGCGCCTAATTCATAAAAGTTTTAATATTTGACGTCAGGCTAGACTTAACAAATGAAATTCTGGAAATATTTTTATTCAAAATTTTTTTGATTATTTGTTTAGTTTTCTTTTTCTATTTTTAACATTTAAAAAGATATTAAAAACCTCAAATATTTTGTGCTGGTTCGTTGTTATAAATTGTTATTGCGCCATATATTTAATGTTTATAAATTATGAATATTTATTATCTCAATCAAGACTCTGAGAAAAATTTTTTTACATTAATTACCCATATAAAATTAATAACAGCATTTTTATTTGGTTAGACGATATTTCGTTTCAACTTGTTTTGCATGAAGTTCGAAAAGTCAAACACAAAAAATTAGTTTGAATAATCACTTCGAAATATATTTAAAACAAATTATTTTAATGACAGGGGTTCTAAAGTTTTTTATAACAAATGTAGGTAAAAAATAAATAACTAAATAAAAAAGTTCAACATTAAACATCATTTCTTTATTACATTGCAACTGCAAATATTGAAATGAAATGAAAATCATAAGATTGGTAAGTAAAGCTTAAATATTTGTTTTAATTTAAAATTAATAGAAATATAAGTAAAATACATAAATCTAAAAATTATTAAGATATCTGTAAAAAATAAGTTGCTCCTATAAAATAAAAATAATTTATTGTTTTTACATTATACAAAATTTTTTTTGCAATATTTGGAAAAATAATACAAATAAATTTGTTTTGCTGTATAATAAAAAAATACTACATTGTACTTTTTGAATTAAAGTAGAAAAACGCAGCTTTGTGTTAAAAGACTACTAAAATACTAAAACTTTTATGTGACTTCAAATACTAAAACTTTTATGAATTATATGCGCTTCAAAGGAATCGCCTAAGTCTGTAGATTGCAACGTATAATTTGAAGACTCAGAGTTATTGAATAAAATGGAGAAGACGAGCTTCGGGTAAAACAATAACATTAGTTTTTCGCGATATGTATTCATTATTTATTTTTAATCAAAAAAACTTGGTTCAAACCTTTTTTTTTTAACATTATCTTTAACACAAGATGTGTTGGAAGTTTAGGATACCTTTAAATTAATAAACATGCAATTTAAAGTCATTGCTTTAATGTAAAATAAAGAATGCCTACAAAAATCTTTGTAGATACACTTAATACTAAAGATAATGATTATGTTAAAATCTAAAATAATGTTTACAACTTATGATTTATTAAAATTAAATTTCAAATTTTAGAGTTATGTTAATGCCATAATATACCTATTAAAGATTTGTTCATCTTCATTGGTCCAAAACATACGACATGAGCAATGTAGAGGGATGCGAAAGTTCTTTGCCAAACATTTTTTAAACAGTAAGGGATTTTCAGTGACTGGAAATAGATTCAAGTGGTTCTTTTTTATACAGCTTAGGAGATGATTTCTCATTTGCCCTTGTTCAAACATAATGGAAGTTGATGGTATACTTTTATTTTCTAGGATTTGCCGAGCCCAGGCAATGGCATACAATCCGCAATCCAAAAAATTAGTTTGTTGTTGAACAGGTAATACTTTAACTAATATACACTTTTTCTTGCAATGTAAAATAGAACATATTTGCTTTTTCGTCTCGACAGATATAGAGCCATGGAAAAGGCTGTCAAACATAAAAATTTCACCTGGCTTACAATTGTATGTGCTCACACAAATCCAGTGAAGATTCCCGTCATGAAGAACTTGAACAAAAGGAGTAGACTCATGTGTATTAAAAGCATTGATTTGACCCTTAATGGGATCCTGTAAACCCACATTAATTTCTAACTGAATTGACATCATTTGCTGGCTAAAATGAATAATTTTGTCATTAAGCATTTGACATTTTTCAATTTCAAATAGTTCAGCTTCACCAATCAAGGACGATTTGAGACTTTGAATACATTGAAACTTAGTTTGAAATTGGACATCGTTATTAACTTGGCTTATGGTGGCTTGAAGGTGTTTGTTGTTTTCAATAGATGTAGTTTCTTTAATTGACTCATGGCTAACTGTAAAGATTTTGCAATTTTCTTCAATTGAGTAATCAGTAACAATCTCAGAATAACAAGATTCTGACTTTTCCACTTTTACACAAATTTCTTTGGCTGCTTTACATAAGTCATATCTAGCACCAACTCGTTTCATCGTTTTTCTTTTTTGTGTAACTGGGATGTTAATAAGTTTTGGCAACTTTGATTCAGACTTGCTCCAAGTTTCTGGTTTAACTACTGGACGAAAAAGAATCCCTGTTTCAGTTGGAAGACTTTCAGACAAGCATTTTTTAACTTTTAATAATTCTTCAAATAAAGTATCTATTTTTTGTGAGTCACATAAATATGACAACTGACTAATTTCATTCAATAATTCTCTACATTCTGCTGCAGTGTGGTAAGTAGTTTTAAATGGTTGATTATTATTAATTGGTAATGTTTGTCTAATTTGATCTGAATCAACTATTGTTTGTGGTGCTGCATTGTCATTGACATTTGTAGAATCATTAACAAAATAAACGGAACCCGGACAATATTCAGTATTTGTTAGACTACTTTCTTCTGACAATAAATCCAAAACAAAATAAGGAGAATTTCGATAAGCCATACCAAAAGCAGACCAAGATAGATTTTCTTTTAAGAATATAGCAAAAAAATGCTTGCATGGATAAGCAGAATTAAACCATGATGGACAAGAACAAGTTGGTAAACGTTCATTATCACCTAGATAGCACTGGTATATTACCCGATTATTAGACTTCAATGATGCAACATTATATAATTTATCTGTCACAGCATTAATTCCTGTTAGATCTACACCATGCAATTTGTCAATCATTCGCATGCAATGATTAACCAAAGGGCGTGGGCGATTAGTTAAATATATTGGTATTTTCTCATGGTACTTTCTGTATGATGAGTTAGCTCTTGTGTTTTCATTGGTATAGCTAAAATACGATTGTTTTTTACAGTACAGTAAATAGAATTCTTGAATTTCCAAAATACATAGAAAGACAGTTAGACTTTAAAATAATTTTTGAAATCTGACAACAATCTAATATATTCAGAAGAATATTATTTATTGTTACTATTGTTTACTGTTACTATTATTATTGAAGGTAATGGTAGTATAGAGTTGACAATAACTGACTAACCTGTCATACTTGTGTGGAAGGAATTCTTCAATGCATATGCTAAGCATAGCGGTAAGGGAAGAATTTTTTCTTTTTTCTAAGAAACTGTATTTAAAACTTTGGTTTTGACGCTCAATTCCGTTGTTGGTATTCACATTCAGCAAAAGTCTATCTTGTCTGTATGCGGATACCCATCTCTAAAATTAGCCAAGTTTAGGATAATAGCAAAATAATTTTGACAGCTCATGACATAAATATTAAAATTATATGTTTTGTAGTCTTAACAATTTTTATGTTATTAAAATTGCTTAACACCTTAGCATAAACTTAATTTATTTTGATAAACATATGTTGTAATAGTAACATAACATGCATCAACCTTACATGTTCCTCCTTTAAAAACTCAAAATGAGAATGAAGTCATTAAAAATAAAATAAAAAATGAATCAGCTGGAATTCACGACATTTTCTCAGATTAAAATTTACTTTTATTTAGTAATTATTTGTCTGGCGTGTGCAATTTTAAGAAATATTTGTTTTTGGTACCTCTTTAATTAGAATTTTATTAAGAAAAAAATTTGCTGCAATTTAAAAACATGTTTGAAATTTAAAAATAAAATAAAAAATGAATCAACTGGAATTTACGACATGGTCCGTTTGAAATTTACTTTTATTTAGTAACTATTTGCCTGGCATGCACAATTTTAAGAAATATTTGTTTTTTGTACCTCTTTAATTATGATTTGATTAAGAAAAAGATTTGTTGCATTTTAAAAACACGTTATAAATTTTTTAGCGAGCGCTTAAAAAAATGCCAGTCGTAGTATTGGTAGACATGTTGGCAAGTGCAAAACTGCAAAAGCACTTGTCAAACAAAGAAGACTGCATTGTTAGTTGCATGTTTTAGGAAAACTAAACTATTTTATATTCTCAAAAACATCAACACAAACCTTTTTGATACACAACCAAGTATTTTTTAAATACTCTTTTAGTTTTGGATGATTATTATACTCAGATGAATCTTTTAATGCTTTTTCAGCTTCTTTACAAATCTCAATAGTTTTTGAATGAGCTATTCGACGTAACATAACCTTGACATCTTCCTTGACAATTAAACACCCATTACTAGATTTCGATAGCCAACGCTCCCAAGCTTGCTCACGATGAAAATCGCAAATAAATACACTACATTCTACATTAAAAATATGACAATACTCCATAAAAAAACTTTTTTAAAGAAAGTATTTATTCATTATTGATGAACAATAAGAAGTAATTAATTTGATAAAATGAATAATTTTTTTTTAGTCAACACATTATACTACTTTTTTGGTTTTTTAACTTTATAAAACAAAACAAAAAAGCAGTTTCTGTTATAAATGTAGTTTATAACAGAAACTGTAGTTTTCTGGCT